TATATATATATATATCTCACACACAGCTTTGGGCAAGACTTTCTTAATTACATTTTTGCTTAAGCCAACATGAGTAAGATTTCTTTTATGGTGGTGAATATCTGTCTCCATTTTTACAATTTAACACAGTTAATTAAAAAAATAATCAAGCATGAACTGTGGTTTTTTCCTATCAAGTCTTTTCAACTAGTTCCTTCAATCTATTGAAATCTGTCATAAAATCTATTCTGCTTCCGCTGATGTATTGATACGTTCTCCTTTTCTTGGAATTCTAATCCCTATCAGTTTACCTTATTTTAATTTAGTCCCTCAATCTAAAGCAACTCTTGCTTGAGAATTCAGAGCATTTTAGAAACACTGACTATCCAATGAAATAGATTCTATAAGGCAGAAAAATCTATTTTTGTCAGATATTCTAGGAATAATTGGGGATCTAAGACAAATTATATTGCTAATTCTAGCAAATCCTATTTAGTAGGATCTTAAGAATAGTTGAAAATTGTAAAACTTAATAGCGGATAGCCATGTCCATCTGCATCACCAGTGTATTGATCCCATATGCTAAAAATGCTACAGAATTCAATTCCAAATACAGGTATTTACAGAAAATAGCATTAAAACACTCAAGCATCAACCCCACCCCTTCTCATGACCCCAGCCTAAATTCTGCAGTTTTCTCAGACCTGCCCAATCATGCCACAAAATAACTCAAGTGTACAAGAAAATGGGAAAAAAATAAATAAATAAATAAAAAGGATACTAGATGTCTTCTGTGCCCTGCCCTTTGCTCAGTTCACTCTCAGTCTGCTACAATTCAGCTTTTGGCCAAGGAAATCCCTAACCTGCGGATTTTCCATGACTCTCTTTTACAGGTACTCACTCACATTCACCAAACTAGACCAAAGGACAAGGGACTTCCCGAACTGAGGGGGTAAAAGTGGATAATTCTGCAGCTCTGCTCCTTGCCCTTTCCATAATTTTGAGGTATCTGAACACTAAAGTATAATAAGCACAATTTTAAGCCAAATCAGGTATTTTACTAGGAGTTGCTGACATACCAGAGGTTAAAACTAAGAAATCTGAATTAGCATTATCAGAGTTTACACATTTTAAAAAACATCTCCATGTAGGTTTATAGTGCTTGAAGTGACTTGTTTTCATACACTATTCACCATATTACCAGAATTCAAAATAAACTCATTTCTCATTTTCCCCCATTAGTAATTTTGACAAGTGCAAGTTATTTTACTTATAAATCAACTCTTGGGGTGGTGGTAGTTAGCCCAAATCTTTACATAAGATGTTAAACGTTAACCACACACACACAAAAAAAAGTTTTTCTAAGAGCAACTTTCCACATTGTTTTCAAACTCAACAAATTCCACAATTTTATTTTAAAAAACGAAAAATTTTGCCATTCGTAGTCACATCTTGCCTCCAATACCTCTCCAAAGCCATAAATTCTGAGTTTTTCACTTTAATTCTCCACGCCCCTCTGCCCAATACAGACCTCCCATGTGTCAGTTCATTAGAACCTCCCAATATAGCTCATTCTCAAGGAAAAGTAAATAACTAAAAAGTAATTAACTCAGCTGGTAAGAATTCTTTTTTTAAAAAAATTTTACCTTAACTTAAAATAATCTCTCTTGTCTCGATGGAGATGAAATAGTATTAATCCTTTGAGGAAACAGTTGTCAACTGCAAATACTCTCAATCAATCCCCCAGAGTGGCGTAAAAGGAGCAGTTTTCTGACAGTCTCAGTTCCCCGAATATCAATAGTAGTCATAAGATCTTTCATGGATGGTGCATCTCAATCTCTCTCTCTCTCTCTTTCTCTCCCTCTCTCTCTCTCTCTCTCTCTCTCACACACACACACACACACACACACACACACACATACGAAAAGAAGAAAAGGAAACATACCTGGCCATTTTCTAAACAGGTTTGATAGGTTCGGTTTACTTGCTAAAAGCAGAGTATTTACTTATAATCTTTTAAAGCAGATGTGGCACCAGAGCACTGGGTAAATAAAAACTTCAGAGAGTTTTAAAAACCCTGCATCTTAACTCACTTCCCCGTGGTTCAAGACGACTGGCGTAGCAAACCCCACAGCAAATGAGATTATGCAACAGGTTTTTCCTCGGCCACCTTACTCATCGCACTGGCTGCTGAGAGGTGTGCTTTCTCCAAACAATGTGGGACCCCCGGGACTTCCAAACAAGGATCTGTGCATTATGTTCAATAAACGTCTTTTATTTGGGATTTTGCCGTATCCATTCATTTCCAGATTTATTCGTCCCGTCCTGATTTACCACCAGTTTTCTTTAAAAGACACCCGGCGTCTGCAAACTTCGCTTTTGCACGACTCTCCTGTGCGATATTTCATTCTACGAAACGACCCATGATCCAGCCCCTCTGTCGTGGCCCCGGCTTGCTTTCTCACGTTTTGCGATTAGTGGACACCCAAAAGTCACCGGTGCGCCGGGCCCCGCAACACCACCACCCAAGCCCCAGTACGAAAATGGGGCTTTTCCTCGGGGGAGGGCGCAGCACCGTCACCGGCCAGGTGGCCTCGCTGCCTGCACCGGAGGCGAGTCCGGATAATGGGAACAGTCAGGCCGGGGCCCCGCGGGGCAGGCGTGTTGTGTAACAGTCGCGCCTGGAAGGGACCAGCTTCGCCCGCGAAG